AAAAATATCATAATACTGATGAAATTAGACACAAACAAAATTTATTAGAACCAAAAATTTCATCTTCACGTACATATCTCCAGAATTTTTTTTGAGGGAATTTAATTTAAAGTTTGTTTCGTAATGATTGGGCCTCATTTGACCCTAGCTCCCATACAAAGTCCCCTTCAGAAAAGACTTGATGGTCAATAATGCACTTATACATACTAGTATAAATAATTTTAATGTGAACGTAAATCCATCTACCTATATTTATAAAGATAGACCATATTTATCCTTGCCCCGAATAACCCCTCTTTAAGAGAATAACTTTTTTGTCAAAGAAATTGTTAAACTGTTTCAGAAGTAAGGCAAAAAACAACTTAAATTCTTTATTATTAAAACAATCCGAATTTGTACATGCTATTCACTGGTGACATTGGTCGTAGACCCACAAAAGTATATATATTCTGGGACCTTATTAAATTCTAAGACGATCTAGCCATGTCTATCCGTCTTGGTCAAGCGGATCATTAGAACAAATACCCGTAGGAATCCTTTGATACACGGATGGCCTAAAAATTCCGAGCAATACCCTGCAGAAATTATTGGAGTACATAATTATGTATTATAATCCATTCAGAGTAATTCAAAAACTAATCGCCTGTAAGCATTATTGGTGTACATGATCCGTTTAGTAGACCTATGTAATGCAGTAATGGATCATGTTTATTATTTTTGAAAACAACATGGTCCATAGCCAGCATCACATAGGACCATGTTGCGGGTCATGTACTCCCATAATTTCAGCAAAATAAGTAAATTTCAAATATGTATAAAAAACTAAAACTCACGGATTGATTTAGATTAATAAAAATTAAATTTAAATTTTAATACGAGTTTAAAAGTTATTTAAAAGCATTAAAATATTAGTACTATAAAAGCATTAAAATATTAGTACTATACTATACTTAAAGTATACCGATCGACTCAGAATCACTTTCTGAGTCGATTTAACGATGTCCGTCCGTCCGTGTGTCCGTGTAAACGTTGTTATCAAAGTACAGGTCGCAATTTTCAAGATAATTTGATGAAATTTGGAATACACGTTTGTTTTGACGAAGGACGAAGCCTATTGAAAATGGTTAAAATCGGTCCATTATTTCACCTAGCCCCCATACAACTGAACCCCCCGAAAAGGGCTTTGGAGATAATAATTATGTATAATATAAATGTATCTCGATGAAAGTTCGTACAACTAAGTTTTATACAAGCCTTGATGACCTTGCCGAATTTCGAAATGATCGGACTTCTTTTGACCCTAGCACCACTGTTGCCAGATTTGACGATTTATCGTCATTTTGACGATTTTCACTGTCAAAAATGGCCTTTCGATGATTTGACGATTTTAACTCTAAATTTGACGATTTTTTAAAATAGCATACAACTAAGTTTTATACAAGCCTTGATGACCTTGCCGAATTTCGAAATGATCGGACTTCTTTTGACCCTAGCACCACTGTTGCCAGATTTGACGATTTATCGTCATTTTGACGATTTTCACTGTCAAAAATGGCCTTTCGACGATTTGACAATTTTAACTCTAAATTTGACGATTTTTTAAAATAGCATTTTTGTACTATTTTTTTAATTTTTTAATTTGTCTATCTATAATTTTAAAGAAAATCGATATATTTAGAATATCCAGTAAAAATGTTAATAAAATTAAACATTATAACGTTTTAGAGTATGTCCATTGATGAAATGATTTACGTAATAACGAACTCAAACATTTTTGAGAATTTCTCTTTTTGAGCCAACACTTAGGGTTTATTGGATCTATTTAGAATAATTGGCAGTGGAAAGAAGGATAGGGGGAGAAGCGTTTTTGGAAATTAAGCAGATAATAAACAAATGCATTCGTAATTCAGCTCTGGGTGGAGGAATATCGTCGTGCGTCGTTGCCATTATCGCTTAAGGGAATCAGACCATCCTTTTTGCTCTGCCTTCGAGAGTTTTACGTTTCAAATCGCATTGGTCAAATGTGTGACTTCGAATAACTGTAACGAGTTACGGTTTTTTGAAGTGCATGTTGACCATATGAATTCGTGTTAACTTAACTTAAGTTTTACTTTTGATTATGTTAGAGAAGTAAAAAAACTCAATTTGATTTTGAATAATTTGTGTTGGCGTTATAATATTTCGATTCGGCCAAGAAGCCTTAGCTCCAGATGCAGCTAAGCAAACTTAAAGTACAGACAAACCAAACTAAAATCTATCGAAATTTAAAAAATTTCTCAAAAATTTATCGGGATCGGTCCACATTTGCTCCTATCCCCCATATAAATTATCTTTTAGAAAATAAGTTTTTCGTCAATAAATTGCTTAAATAAATCGAAATCAAGTTAAGATAAATGCTTTATTATGAAAAATAAATCACATTTAATATTCATAACTGGTGTAGGGTATCATATGGTCGGCCAAGCCCGACTATACTTTCTTACTTGTTTGTTGTTGGAATATAAAAAATATAATTTTTTAACAAGTAAATACTTGACAATTTACATCAATTTTATTTTTTGTTGTTGATATTTACTTCATTTACATAAACCCCAGAAAAATTAGGAAAAATTGGTCATTTTTTGGGGAATTTGAGATAGCTAAATGAAAATTTGTTTATTTACTACAAATAAATCGCGTTGATAGAAACAAACTTTTCAATTTAAATAGTTTTTTGCTTCTCTTGCAAAATTTTAAAAATAATAGATAGGCCGTTTGCGTTTTAGGTGACGACATATTCTTAAATATGAAAATGATTTTATTATCATTCCTTTTTTTATATAAAATCAAATTAATAAAATATTAGGAATTATTATCCATTAACCCTCCAAACAAAAGCTTTTTAATTAATATTTATTTTTTGTCAAAATTTCTAATGCGGTTATAACTAAATAACTTTCACTTGTCAACTAAATTTATAAAAAAACTCTCTTAGACTTAAAACATTTTCCAACTAGTAGTTATCCAAAGATATTTGAGTAAATTAATAAGAACGTGTATCGAAGTAAATTGATTTGAAACTTAAGATGAATTAAGTACCAACAGAGATTTTTCTAAGAAACTAAGGAAGAAGTAAGAAGACGAAAGTACCTTTAGTTTTTCTTCATTATCATTAGTTATTGGTGATTAACGTGACCAGATATCCCGCCAAAAGCGGGATTATCCCGCTTTTTAAAGATTGATCCCGACTTTTTAATAAAAAATTTCGCTTTTTTACATAACAGGTCAATCATCCTTATTTTATTGTAATTAATTTGGGATTTTTTAATACGTCAAAATTTTGAGATAAAGAGGTTTTAATTCAGCACGATCCTTCAGTAGTACTTGTAAAATATTTGAAAATGAGTACCGATTTTAAGATGCACCTTTTTTTATCCTAACAATGAACGCAGAAGACAAAAATAATAATATAAAATTTAGGACTTGGTGAAATTTTTACCAGTTTTTTTTACCAGATTTTTAGGAAATGTTATACCAAGTTTTTTATAAAATAAATAAATTTCAATATAATTATTGACATTTTATTCCAGAATTACAAACTTATGGATCTGTTCTCTTTAATATTTTTCCCACATCTATTCATCAAGATTTATTAAAAGTTTTTCAACGAAATGTTCAATATTTTTGTGACATGAAAACCATTGTTTGTGTTGTAACACTAACAAAATATTTTATATAAAAAATAACTACAACTTCAAATCTAAATTTTTTTCTTCCATAAAAGATTATATTCGGAAAATCACCCAGATGTTCATATTAATATCGATATACATACATATGTATGTAAGACAAGGTTTTGATTGTCGGTATATAAGATTCGTCTTAGTCGAATATAAGACTTTTACTTGTTTTGATATTAAGTTTTACAAAATACAGATTTAATGTATGTCAATTTTCAAAATCCTGCTTTTTTAAAATATTTTCTTCCAAATCCCGCTCGGATCCCGCTTTCTTCAAAAAGCATCTGGTCACGTTAGTGATGATAGATTATATTAAGTTCACACGAGCAGTTGAATTACTTAATTCGGCCTCTGAATGACAATAGCTAATTAACCCGTTTCTACGACACATTCGTAATTCGTTTTGACAGTTCATCGCCATGTTGTTTTTTTCATTCTTTATTTTGTAATTTTTTGGAATATTTGTGTGTGTGTGAGTAATACACACTGTGTATGATACAAAAATACGTTTGTTACATTATTTTAACAAATTAAGTAATATATTTTCTGTCTTATTCATAAAGATTTATCAAAGGTTTGTAGAAAAAATTTCGTATGAAAATTTGAATTATAAAACTTTGATAAAAGTTTATGAATAAGAACCTTTCTATTTATTTGCTTTTTTGTATGTAATTGGGCGTTGAATGTTGAATGAAAGCGTGAATGTCGAATAATTGCATCATGTGAACGGGGTATTAGACTATTAAACATCACATACCTGAGTTGGAAAGTATTAAATTGATTATCGTCATTATGTTTTATTATTTGTAAGTAATCTCAGGAAAAACTTACATTGAAAATAAATTAGTTAAAAACTAATAAAACCTCTTTCCATTACTTATTCTTTGGCATTTTAACTCATGATTATAACACAGTGATGTTATTGGATACAAGCACTTACCACACTCGCTTATAAATAGGGAGATAAAGAATTACTTACACTATCGTTTACAAAGAAGTTATTGAGTAAGTTGTTTTGATTTTTACTAATAAAAGGTGCCAGCGGAAATACGAACCAGGGTCTTCGGTTTGTTAGCCAAATGTTCTATGTTGAGCGTCAAATAATGGTTTTTACATTCAAGGTTTTTGCTGGGATGTTCTTGCTTCTGTTCTAGTCTATCAAGTGTTTTACAATTCAAACTTATAAAAAATGTAATGATTTATTATAAATTTGTATAATATTAATAACATCTTAAAATTAATATAATAATAACACTTTTTCCCAATTTCATATAATTACAGATAGAAGATGCTATGCTTATGTTTGATAAGCAAACAAATCGACACAGAGGTGAGTCAAGTTACTAATATTGTAAAATAAAATAGTTATACATTTGTATATTCGGCGAAACCTGAATTTTGGCATACTATTGATATATCCTCCCCATTTTAACATGAGCTTGTCTTACGAGAAAGTCAATTGGCACTCTATAGCCTAAAAAGAGACAGTCAAAAGTAGTCAAGGAATGGCATTGTCCAAATGCATTCTAAGGAGTTAGTCATATTACTAGCTACTTTACTAGTTATTGACGTGTCCTAGGAGAGAGTCAAGTGTCCACAAGTAGCTAGTCTAATGGACACTTATTGCAGTAGGGTTAAATAGCCGGTCAGTCGAAGTTTAACTCTAAAAAATTTAGAAAAGTAAGAAAAGATCTTTTAAACAAAATTACTTTTATTGCTAGTTTAAATAAATATGTTTAATATTTCTGATCATTTGTATATTCAGTAAAATCCGACTTTTGAACTTTGGAATTTATTATTACAGATATGTATGTATACGACTCTGAAAGAATAGAATTTGTTACATTAAGGAAAGATTAATTTTTAGCCGTAATCTCAGCTAAACTTTTTTGACTTAACTCATCTTTAGTAAATTCACTCTTCCGAATTGTGATATTTTTATATTTCAAATTGTAAAGTGCTGAATTGTGAATGAGATAATTTTATTTAAATTTTATTTTACTTAAAATTAATTTTTCGCGATAACTCTTTTGAACAATACAGTAGTTTCCGTTTAATTGTTCAGAATAAATGCAATAAACAAATCCCATATAAGATATTCAATAAAATTTTCGTTTAAATGAGTTGGTTTAATTGCGCTACCCTCTTAATTGGATTATAAATTACCCAGGAAAAACTTTACTTACCCGGTAAGCAAGTAATATTGGAACAATGTGGAAGTAGTTACTTTTGGGTGAATATCTAATTAGTTTTGTTCGAAGAGTTTCAAAAAATAACTGGTAACAAATGTGCTTACCCGACTTTACCGGGCTTAAACCTGGCTTTACAGTTATTTTTTGTGTTTATTAGTCTTTCCGCTTACCCATTGCTCCATTTGCAAGTTATTTTATAGCACTTTTTGGAATCGTTTTTATATAAAAGTATAAATCGACGTTTTTAAAAAAATACTGATATGAACTATGATTCGAACCACAAACTTTGGATAGATGCTTAAGATAATTTGACTGATGCTCTAGATAATTGGCTACAAATCCCATTCAAAAAAATTAAACAATGTTATTGATAACGACTACTCATTACCAGGTAATGTATTAAAAAACTACATTATATAGATTACTCATTACAAATTAAGAAAACACAACGTTGCCTCTTAAATATTATACGCAAAACTAGATTTGGATGATTCAAGAGATATAAATATCATTTTCCCTGGATGTCAAAATAGGAAAAAAGGAATATTACACAGTGCAACATTCATTTTCACACATAAAAAATCTATATGTAAAAGAAACTGCGGACCATTTGTATTAACTATCTGTACTAAGTTTTTCATAATTAGCTTAGAGAAAATTTGTCAAAAAAAGTAGTTAAAAATTTTTGTTTGTTTTAAGTTAAATTTCTTTTAAGATTTATAATCTAAGTAAGTTAAATAAATAATATAGATAGAATTCACAGTTTCCCACCTTTCATTTGATACCAATATTTACATCATACAATACATAAAATATTTAAAATATTCGTTTGAAATTGTAAGTCCTTTAAACTTCTCAGTCCTTTTATAGGAAATAAGAGCTGATTATAAAAAACGGATTACGCAGAATTTCTATAAATGGACGCTACAACATAAAAATAAGAGAACAATGAGAGGATCGCCAGAGAGCGAAATAAAAATAGAATAGAATCTATCTCAATCACAACACGATATTTCTAAAACCTTTATATTTAAAGAATTTAAAATTTTGCAAATAATTTCAAATTTTGCATTAATATGCAAAGTTAAAATAAAGTTTTTCATAGTAATATAAAATATCAATCAATATTATATTTTATGTAATTTAATGGAGTAAAAGAAACCAAATTGTTAAAAAAGCAGCAGATTATGTTTTGGTCCAAAATCAACTTTATTTGGTTAAACATGACAGTAAAATTAAACTAATTAGTGTCATAATGAGCAATATCTCGAAAACTATTAGGGCGATTTTTAAAATTTTTACTTATTTGTGTCCAAACTAGTAAGAAAACAAATTAGTAAGAAAACTTGTTTTGCAACAGAAAATTATACAAAGGGATAGAGTTTAAAGCAAAAAAGTAAAATTAAAATAATTAGTGTCATAATGTGCAATATCTCGAAAACTATTAGGTCGATTTTTACAATTTTTACTTATTTGTGTCCAAACTAGTAAGAAAACTTGTTTTGCAACAGAAAATTATACAAAGGGCAATTTTTGGAATGGAAGTTTTGCATTCAGATTTTTTTTTCATTTTTTAAGATAGAAAAAAATTCAAAATGCTATAAAATTGCCAAAAACATTTTTGTCTTTGAAATTTATATCACTGATGCGGGATTGTTTTCTGGATATTTTGCCATCAAAATTTCGTGTTTTGTATTCGCTTCGTAAGCGATATTTACATGTTTTTCTTTTTTCAACTCGCTTGCGAGCGTGTGGAAAACGAGTTGAATTCGAAACAAAAATCAGCATTTGTGTGTTTACAAGAAAAAGGTTTTATGATGGCAATAAAAAACAATTACTACGAAATAATTTGTGTGGTTATGTGGCCGTATATTTTATGACGGTCACAAAAAACGAATTCTGGGAAAGTGTTAAAAAGGAATTTTTTACCTTTTTATGTAAATGTATTTGTTCTTTCATATGTAATACATACAGTGTCTCTCATAAGTGTTCGAATTTAATGTATTATGAAAACAGACATCATTTTATAATAGATTTTGTGGGAAAAATAAATAAATTTATTATGTTGTCCAGACAGTCCTTAAATTTTATACCACATTTTAAAAATTAAAAAAAAAATAATTTACTTAAACTAATTTAACTTTTTTTAAAAAAAGTGCAAAAAATAGCTTCACAAAAGTATTCGAATTTTTTTGTATAAATCATATTTAGATTAGCATTATGAAGTAAAAATAAATAATTAAAATGAAATTAATGTTTTGTATAGTAGCCTTTATTTTTAAAAACAACTTCCAAGAGTCGTGGGACCGTTTCTACCAATTTATGGAATAGTTCTGGCGTTATTATGTCCCATTCTTCATTAAAGCAACCGTATGGTGGTTTTAGAGGATAATGAGTGATTTAAAAATTGTTCTTGTAAATATAACTACAAATTTTCAATGGAGTTTAAGTCCAGACATTAACTCCATTGAAAATTTGATGAAAGAAGATACAACATTTTCACGTACCAGGTCGTGTATTTTGGATCGTTTTTCTGTTGAAAAATAAATTGAATGGGTTGTAGTCCCATTTTGGTGGTACTAGCATGCAAATTCTGCTCTAAAATTGACAAGTGGACCTTCTAGTCTATAATTACAATAATAAATTTTAGCAGTCCAACACCGTGGACGGACACAGAACCTCAAAATATGGCAGAGCAACTTGGGTCCTTTACAGTTCGTTTTAAGTTAGATAATTCCAAGGCATCTCCAAGCTTTCGCTATATCATTTGACGACCATCTGAGCCAAAAATATTATATTTGTTCTAATCGTCGAAGATAACCTCCTTCCAGAATCCAATATTCTTACTTATGAGTCTATTTGCGGAGTCAAGACACTTAACATCGATTAACTTCGATATGAGCGGTTTCCACCTTGGTACTTGACCATGCAAATTATTGTTCCCTAGTACTTTGCGCACAATTTCGACACTAATTTTTATTCACAGGACTGTCCTGAGTTCGTTGTTAATTTTTGGAGCTAATAATGAAGGTTCCTTCGGTATTTCCTCAGTATTTCTCTGTCGCCCTGTATTGACAGCAGTTTTGGACGACTTGATAATGGTAAATACTCGATGGAATTCTTTGTTCCATGCGTCTAATGACAAAATATATTTTCGATGGGAATCTATCAAACATTCCCTATATGTAATATTGATCGGCCTTGATTATACAGATATAAATTAATTTTTTAATTTGAATTGATCAACTCTTTTTCTTTGAACATTTTAAGCGCTTACACAGGAAGGATTTACAACATAATTATGCAAATTTCCAAAAAATATAATGTTAAATATTCCATATAACCACTACCTGCATAATGGGTTAATTAATGGGCAATAAAACACGTGTTCAAGGATTCTAAAAAAGTTCTTAGAAAAAATTCGAATATTTTTGCGTAGTACCTGAAATGACTCTTTTTGGGTTTTTCCCATTTTCTTGGAAACCATTAATGAGTTTTTATTACTTTTTTCTTGTATTTCGTAAAAATATTATAAATTAATAAAAGTTCATTAAAAATTTTTAAATACCATTATTATTTTTAAAGTAGCATCATAAAATAACACAGTAATTCATAAAAAATTCGAATATTTATGTGAGACACTGTATGTACATACATGTATGTACATTGATGGGCATGCAAGTGATCTTTAAAAATGTAGCACTTTCATTCAATTGTTTATTTATTATATTATTGACTAGCTATACCCAGTGTGCTTTGCTACACTAAAAGCAAAAAAACCCACTTACGCATGGGAGATGCCACTCATATTATTGAAAGTTCGCCAATTATTTACTAGCTATACCCAGTGTGCTTTGCTACACTAAAAGCAAAAAAACCCACTTACGCATGGGAGATGCCACTGAAATTATTGAAAGTTCGCCAATTTTTCCGAATTTAATTCATATGGGAGAGGCCAATCCCCCCATTGAAAGTCCGCCAATTTTTCTCTAAATGTTCACATGAATGTCAAAGTTCTTCATGTAAAATTTGAAGATTCTAGCTTCTACAGTATCTCAGATATACAAATTTGTCTATATAATTCATATGGGTGTTCCAAGCCACCCCCTGATGAAAGTCCGCTTTTTTCCCCCAAAATGTCCAGATGAATATGAAAGTCCTTTTTGCAAAATTTTAGGAATCTTAGATAAAATATTTTGTTGTATTTAATTCATATGGGAGGTGCCGCTCCCCCCATTGGTAGTCCGCTAATT